TGATTTATGAAGTTGGCGTTTTTAGTCACCCTCGCTTTTTGTTTTATAACTCTAACAGTTGTCATTTTAAAAAACTTGTTAAGAGATATTTTTGTAAACGATTTCATGGCGAATCTTATAAAAAAAAATTTAAGTCGACCGCATATTATCCGACGAAGATATACCGAAAATAAAAAAGTGCGTTTATTTCTGTTACACCCGTTATTATTTGACCACGCATTATGCACAAATGTTTGCTCTTTCAGCCTATATATTTTAATATATATTACAGGCCTTCGTTATCAATTAATTTAGCAAATACAATAACCGGGACCAGATTGGTCCTGCCAGTATGGTTTACTTTAGTTTACCACTAAAGTTAATGGAATGGTATACAAATCTTTTACTGGGACCAGAAATATCTTTTGGTCCCGGCACCCATCTCTAATTAAGTCTGTTGGAAGATATTATTCATCATTGAGGAATTAACGTGTTTACTTTGCATTAGTACCAGGGTAGTTAAAATGCAATCTTATACTATTTGATGAAACATGATTAAACGGACGGATTTTCATTCTAATCGTATGCACGGGATTCTGTATCAATTTGTTCCATCAAATTTCATATGACGTGTAAAACGTTAAAGAAGTATGGTATTTGATACAATAATCTTTTATGGTTTAGTCACGCAAATATGACAATCAGTCAATAGTAGAGATGGCATGTATTCATTTTTAAATAAAATGAAATACATATCAAATGTAGAAAAATAATACTTTTCTCGATTTTAAAACATAGTTTTATCTTTCGCTACATTTGAATTATTTTCCACATACAAGAAGGAGAAAAAAAAGTCTTATATTCTGCGAAAAAGTAAAGCATTCAGCCAGAAAGTTTTCTGCATTACTTTAAAATAGAACTTTATAACAAAAACAATATGTCGCAACAACAATGGGTATGTATATAATTTGTAACTGTATTTTCCCAAACGCCAAACTGTTAGTATCTTGAAACAGATGATTTCTTCCTTATCTGGCTCCTTTTCGGCAGTAGCTTGACTCTCTTTGTATAAAATTGATTACATATGCTATAAAATCTCCAAGAATTGCGCTAAAATATCTAGTTCATGCAGGCAGGATAGATAACGCGGATAACAAATGGGCTGGCTTATCCACATAAAAGTTGACTTTTATGTAACGTCTGAAACGTAAAATTCATAGCTCTTCAGCCGAGCAACGTATAGTGTTAGGAAACATCTTATTCTGTAGCTGAGCACTTTCGTACAAGAGGGCCTTATTGGTACGAATTATAGACAGGTGTTTAGGGTATGACTAGACTTTGCGTAATTACCATTTGAAAGAAAGCTACAAAATAAATTGTTCCTCAATTCTGTACGTTACTCGTCTGAAGAGGTATGAATTTCACAAAATGTTACGAACTTACGTTTTTTGGCTGGTACGCTTGGACAGGCCGAACTTTTCTTCATTAGAACTAGTACCCCGATCCTCACATAGACTTGAGATAGACAAATTTTTCAACCTTTGTTTTGGTTTAGATTACTATTCCAAGTCATTTGATTGGTTCAATTCCTCGTCCGGATGGTTTAATTCAAGCCAATGTTGGGTATGAAAATGATGTTGTATCATTGGAAAAATTACAACAGATGCAATTAAAAGCAATTGAAGCAACAATTCGAGAATTAGATGTAACTCAATCTGAAGTGCTTACCGATGGCGAACAAACAAAACCATCATTTTTAACTTATCCAATTTACGATTTGGTCAATGATTGTTATACATTTGATGATAAATGTTTTCAGCTTACGTTTAGTGATGGTCATAAGCGTACTTTACCACGTCTTATCAAAGCACCATTTCACTTTGCTACCTATGCTTATAGATATCTCAATGTAGCAAAACAATTTACCTCAAAACCAATAAAACAAGCTGTTATTACCGCATCGGCTCTATCCATGGTCTATTCACCAATTCTGTTGTCAATGGGAGCAATTGAAAATTATACAAGAGAACAATTTTTAGTAGATTTATATAATGAATGTGAAAAAGATATTCGAATGTGTTTGGGTAAGTGATATACCATCATAAAATATTGAATTAGATGGATGATAATGATAACATTGATGCACGGTTTGTTGAATTAACTACAGTCTTAGTCTACAGGATACAAATATACTTCTGATCCTCTAATTTGCAGAACATCTATAATTCATTATAGTGTATGTGATATTTTTCATGATATATAGATCATGGTGCTCATATAGTTCAAATGGATTTCACTGAAGCTCGTTTATCGTTGAAAATCGATCCCACAGGTCAATTATTAAAAGAATTTATTTTAATTAATAATAAGGTATTAGATCGATTTACTCGAGAAGAACAAAAAAAAATTGGTGTACATGTTTGTCCGGGTGGTGATTGCGATTCGTATCATTCATATGAAATTGATTATACTCTCATGTTGCCTGATCTGTTTCAATTGCATTTAACAAATTTTTATTTACAATTATCATCGGAAAAAGATCATATTAGAATTTTAAAATGTATTCAACAACATATGAAACCAGAGCATCAAATTTATGTAGGTGTCGTCGATCCTATTAATCCTCTAATTGAGAGTGTTCAAACAGTATGTGATCGTGTCCTGGAAGCAGCTCAGTATATTCCATTAATTCAATTGGGTACTACAGATGATTGTGGTTATTCACCATTTGCTGATGATCGATCAACATCGAGAGAAATATGCTACGACAAAATAAAAGCAAGAATTCAAGGTACAAAATTAGCCGAAAAAATATTAAATGAACAAAGATAAACAGAAATAGCAGCATGTACTCGTCGTATTGTGTTTATATATGTTGTAGTTGGTATTTTCATTTATCAAGATGAGTTGAAAAGATGTGAATGTTTATATTTGTGAAAATGAATATTTAATTTAGTTGTATCTCTATTTCTTGATGTTATCCAAAGAGTATTTGTTGTGTCGTAGTAATAAAATGTCATTAGTTTATAAACAAATTCCCAATTTTATCCTATAATAAAACTTAGAATTGTAATATAATATACCTTATACAGAAACAAAAATATTTTTAAAAAGAAGGTAAAGATATAGAAAAAGAAGAATTTTCATATTTTAACAAAATATGGTACATGTAATTGTTAACAATAGTGTGGTCCACTAAAAATATGTTTCTGTTGATTATATTTTTGCTTCAAATCATTTATAAATCCAGAATTAGGTTGTGCTTTTACAAATTGTTCATATTGTTCGGAGAAAAACGGTGCCAAACCAAATGAATCTAGGTCAAGTTTAATTTTAATTTCACCACGATTCGTCTGTATACTTTGTAGAACAATTTGTTTTTCATCCGTTTTACTTTTATTCCATTTTCCTTTTACTAGATCACCTCGAAGTTCTTGTTGTGTAATGGTTGTCATTGTCACTTCTGACGAATAAAGTTTATTAATCCCCTCATCATTTATTACACAGCCATACAATGGTATAGCGATTCCAGTACAACCGTCACTTGGTTTCATTTTTTTTGGATCCATACCCGCTTGAAGAGCATTTTTTGCAAACAATTTCATTTGTTCACTCTCTCTCATCAATTTGCGTACAGTATAATGGAGGAAATTACAACAGCAATTGCAATCAACTGAAAAAACAGAGTCGATTGTGGATTAATAATATGAAGGAGTACAAATGATGTTTATACTTTTCGTCTCACCTGCATGCTGTGTGTAGACTACTGTCTGTGATAAGGGAGCATCTGGTACTTTTTCGTCTAAAAGTGTAGGTATTTCTGCTAGTGTTTCATTTGACAATGTGCTAACACCCTTTTTCAAAATTTCTTGCGTACCTCCTGCAAACGTATCTGTCATGGCCTCTTCATTGCTCAATGACAATGCCGTTGTTTCTGGTTTCTTCTTATGATCTTCAGTTCTGGTTAATTTAATCGATTTTTTGATTTTCTTTTCTTTTGAATCTTTCTTCTTTTTTTTTCTGCTATCCTGAAGAACAAAATGAACATGAAATGTCAGAAGTAGCCTGAACAAAACAAATTTTATCAAATAAGTTCAACGAATCTTAATATCTTTTAACGTGTTAAATCATAACTTTAATTCAAAAAATTCATTCGTCTCTTACAAGTCAACATTCTTGATTGTTTTCTTTCTTTACGAATTTAGCATTCGTGCCAGTTGTTATGCCTCCATTGGATCATAAAATCTGTAAAATTAGAGTCTTTAGAGACTTAAGAGAGCCTACGCCAGAAAATCTCTGGAGATAAATTTTATTTTATTTTTATTCATGTCTCATTCGAAAGAGCATACAAAATAACCACTAACCCTGCAATAACTCTTGTTGGAAGCCCCTTTTTCTAAAAAACTAAAAGTCGAACACTCTATTGAGGGTCACTGATGTTACCAAAATTCGTATCACAAATTTTCGTATTTTTCGATTTTCTCAAAAACTATCAAACCCCAAGGACTGGTTCATGGCTCATTGGAAAGCGAGATGTTTACTCTATAAGATCATATATTCAGACATAATAATATGTTTAACTATCCAGGACTAAATAATCGAAAACTATAAAATTCCATATTTTATGCATTTTCCTCAGTACTTTTTCAATATACGTCATGTATATAGGGGTATCAAAATAAATCTTACTTTATTTTGTAGAGCAGGTAATTCTACACCGATTCATATATAGTAGAACATTATAAAACACAGCATGATGTACTTTTAAATCAAATATTGGAGATAGGCATAGGTCGAGACGTTTTTCATCATTTTATTACTTTTCTAAATTTTGATACAAATCTCAAAGATCTGGACATACAATGAATCATTACAGATGTAGAGCAAATATTTCCTACAAAACGAGACGTCGACGAGCTCCTTGCAATGTCTTTCTATGATTTTACACACGTTTTACGGCAAGCACTGTATTTGAGATCGGTCTCCCACTGTTTTTTATCTCAGTTTTGATCCATTGAGCAAATGCGATAATTTACATATGGTTGAGTAGAGCATCGAAAGTTACATATAGTGGCATGTGTTTTATTTTTATCAGTTTGTATTAGCAGGGAAAAAAAATTTTTAATTTTGTAAAAATGGGTATTATATATAAAAAAAGACATTTTTCTCCTACTTTTCAACTTGATACTTTGAACCTTATCAGTTTTGTGTTTAGAAACTGCACATGACTTAATGCTAGCTACTCATGTCAAAAAACGTGATGAAAATTATTTTCTCCTAAGCTTTTAAAAATCTTATATTAAGTCCGCTCAGGATTGCAAAAATTTAATTTCTATGTAAGGTAATTTTCTCCTATACTTCTACAATAGATATTTTTACTAAATAATTTAAGACAGACATAATCGCTACAACGAATAACGCATTCATAATCTTTATCACAACCTACTTACAACAAAAAGTTATAGTGTGTTAAAAAACGAGGAAACACTTGGAGAAGATCGCTCACTGGTTACTTTGCAGCAGCAGATACAATCATCTTAGCTGATTTCTTGAATGAAAAAACGACCGCGTTTTTTTCTTGAAGAGAAAGAAATCTAAAAAATTATCAGTTGATTAATAGTTCTTCTAACGCAGATTTGGCATACTTATTGGGTAAGTCTTAGGCACTACGAGAGCGAGTGCAGCAAAGCGGTCCAATTTTGGAAAATTTTAAGGAAAAATTTTAGTTATATTTCATCGTGAAAACAGATAACGATTGGAAATCAGTGAATTATGCTCAATCTGATTTTCAAGTTGACACTGTAAAATAAATACTCTCTCCAAATAGTTTCTGAGCAACGTATATTTTTAGTAATATTTTTCCAGTTTAGTATCAGCATCAAAGTTTGGTTTGGTATTTGTGTTCGATCCATATATATATATATATATATATATAACAGTTTTTACAAGGACGTTTCATGACCCGATTATTCATCCGATTGCCTATCTTTTAAAGTGATTGTTTTGTTTTTCTTGAATTCTGAAGATACGACGGTATCAGCTCGATGTGTAAAGCTCTATCAGCTATGCAGTTTTATCAGGGCTGAATCAAACTCGAAATCAGCTCAGAAAAAACTGAAAATTACTTTCCTTATTTTCTAATAACTGCTTCAGAGCTGAATAAACTGTTGAGAACTTTCATCTCTGAATTATACGATACATTTTAATGATGTATGATTCAGTCTTAATAAAACTGCATAGCGAATACAGCTCAAATCGAGCTAATTGTCGACTAGTGGAACTCTTAGACTTTAAAAGAAGAATGTATTAACGGATATTTTTCGAAACTCTCAGATTTTTATTGAAAGAAGTGCAAAGAGCTCGGCCAAAACAGTTAAAATTTCATCCTTTTTGCTTCAATTTGAATCTAAGCTAGAAACGGTGATATTTCTATTCATTCGAATTTTTATGGTAATAAATTACCTTCATGTGCAGGTCACAGATTAGATGCAGTAAGATGTTTTCAATGGGTTCAAATCTCAAACATAGTTTTGGATCTAGTAAACATTTTCTCAATATAACTGGAAAAACAGCCAGAAATGTATGTCTTTAGAATAAATCATTTGCTCTTTTTTTTTCAGTACCACCATATGGGTAAGTGTATTTTGAATGTTTTTGTTATTTGTTTTTGTAAATTCAACGTGTGCTCATACTTTGATCATGTTTTGCACACAAATCTATTACTCTATGATCTTTAGCTACGGCTTCCATAAATAGACAAGTCATTCTCAGATGAAATTCGAATTTTATCTCCGTTTCTCAAAATAACTCAATATTTTTCAGAACGTATCAAATATAAATGTTGATTCGTTTAACCAGAATGTCGCACTCTTTGTTTGCAAACGAGGTGTGTTAATACTTAGGCGATGTTGAGAAAAAGTCTAATATATCCAAATTTACCTTATTCCTATGCCTTTTCTTCGCTTTTAAACTTTTCCTTTTGTTCTTCTTGGTTGTTGATGAAAATTTGTTTTCTTTCTCCTCCTCGGAATTTACAGAAGATTCGTCTTCATCTGAATATTGATTCTGATTTTGAGGCTGGTTGTGACTCGATAAATGTTGTTGTTGATCAATCAAATTACTGATTTCCGTTCGTACACGATTGACAAGTTCACGTGCACCCATTTCGTTATATTGATAACTAATTTCGCGTTTACTACCTTTTGCTTCTTTTACTGACTCATCCATGCCATCCCTGTTTGGTCTAATTATACTTCTAGACGGTTTTACACTGTTCAGTCGATATTGTAGTTGAGCTTGTTGAAAATTATTCCAATGTGCTATTGGACTTCTCTCATTTCTATAATCATCAGTGCCTGCAAAGTGAATTTATGGTTGACTGCTTGTTAAAACAGATGAGAGGGTTAAGTTTTTTCTTCTTTTTTTATGTTCGTACAACCTCGAGTAAGATTTCGTCGAAGCCTTATTTGGCAGTTTTTTACTACACGCGAATACGTTTTTATGGAATGTACTCGTACCTTTACTTCCTAAACAAACGGATGAAGGCCGTGGAACACCACTACCATTATCAAAAGTAAAAGTTCGGTTGGCTCGCAGTCCATGTGGATCAAGTTTCTGATTTGATCTAAAGCTTCCAAATTCATAGTTTTGTCCTGCAGACCTCAACGCTTCTTGTCTAATGCCGGTGTGACTTTTATCATATGTTGCCTCATTAATTGGAGAATTCGCCCTTTGCTGTTTGCTGATTCTCTGTTGTACTTGTCGAAGGTCGCCTGAACCTCGATCAGACATTTCATATCTTGGTCCGAAACCACTTTGTGGAAAGTCACCTGCCCGTTTGCCAAATATGTCTTGCTGATGAACTATGGCAGTTTTCTCTACTTTTTCAAATTTATCTGGCGTCTGTCTAATTTCATCTCGTCGATCCTGATCGTTATCTGCTTCCGCGCCAAATTTAAGGAACTGATTGACTGTGGCCTTTGTTTCCTTACCGTTCGATAAATGGGGTAAGTTTTGTGTGTGCGCATTCATCATTTCATTTACTTGTCTTCCAAGATTAACCGTTTTTATACTTACAGTATTATTCTGTCGCCTGCAGCATCGACAACTTTTATAATTTTCATTTATAGCTCGACAAGAAAATAAATCCGATTTAAGCGTGCTACAGCAGCATTCTTCCTCATCATAACTCTCACGTTCAACGGATAACATACTTTCGTGTTCTTTCAATTGAGACTTTAACAAACTCTGAATTCCTTGTAAAAACGGGTAAGCATTAATATTTTGTTTTCGTGCATGACAAACTTTACAAATTAACTGTTCTAATATTTTTAGATTTGATTTTGGTTTGGATAGTGCTATCTGCAACAGATCATCAAGTCGTTCGTTTGATTTTTTCGGAAGTTTAGGTATGTCGCCAATTTGTGAAACAATCTCACAAATAATTGCATTATCACTGAACTTGGAAGGCTTAAAATAGTCAAAGTGCAGAGTTCTTACTTCGTTGACATTTTATATAAAGAATATATGGACTTAAGAAAGTTTTACTGGGTGTGCCAAAGAGGCAAAAACTACCGAAAATCTGAATGATTCAATTTAGGTATTCGATGAGGGACTCATCATCTATAGAATAAAGAATGAAACAATATGAAACTTACAGACAACGTACTCGATCTTCGTTCCAACTAGTTACGATTCTTAGATCTTCTAAATCTGAATCGATGAGAAACAGCGGATCGATTTCATTTTTCGCTCTCAGATTTTCTGAATCATTGGAAAGAACTGATAAGTTCGTTTTCGACAATAAAGTTATTTTGTTTGATGCTGTTGTTTTACGTTTGAAAACTTTAGAAAAAATCTGTTTCATTTTACATTTCGTGTGATGACGTATCAAAGCATTGATTGAGCAACATAATTCTAATTGTTCGAACAAGTTTTCAATAAAAAACAGTAGATTATTCAAATAACTTCTCAGAATGCTACTTTTCACTTTGAATAAAAATTTATTTCAAGCGCCATAATCTGTACGAAATACTTATCTGCCGAATCTGTGAGAAATTGGATCTAAATCTAAAGATGTTTATTTATTAAAAATTCTCAAATATACTTAGTAAACATGTACGCACATTTTATTCACAAAATTGAAGCAGTTATAGGCATGCACCGATCCGATAGTTCGGTGATCGAACGTGTTCGAGCTGGAAAATTGATGTGAACGAACGTGTTCGGACGAAAAGTGCAAATACGATAGTTTATATTTTTCTCATCGAAGATACCTTTTACCTGCTCCTTCGTTTGGTGTAATTTTCAGCATTTTTTCTGTCTCACAGATATTCCTTTCATTTGTCTTTTCGCTCTCGTGTTCTTAGCTTTGACAAACTATTTTTTTTAAACCTTGGGTAGCGAACCGCTCGCTGATCGAACATGTTCGGTAGAGATCCGACAGAACACACATTCACTCATATTGTACTTTAGTTAGTCTATTTTCTCACTGGTTAGTTCCTTCAAAAACTTCAATTTCATCCCGTTTGTCTTAGTCCAGACTAGGCATGCAACAATCCCAAGCTAGGACTCGCTGATCGGTAGCGAACATGTTCGGTGGCGAACCGTTCGTTACCGATCAGTGAGCCCTAGCTTAGGATTGTTGCATGCCTAATCAGTTAATGTACGAGGTAGTTATGAGTTATGTCTACGTAAACAGAGATAAGAGTTTTGGCTTTATTGTCTATTGGCTAAAGAGCAACTTGACTTTGTCATTGATCATTTATCTTCTGTTTCAGAAGAGAGCACCTCACAATTATCTCAGTGAAATAACAGAATGGACTGTATTATTTTATTTTCAGTCACTTCCTGTTTTTATAATGTATTTTGTCCGTGAAACTAAAATTTTAATGTTAGATTAATTAGAATAATTATTGAAATTTGAAAATTTGATATCTTACTAACAATTATCTAATGTATATTGACATTCTTTGATTTTTTAATGTTCTTTTATAAAACTATATTTAATATAATTGAAAAACGTTTTCAGAAAATCATTTTACGATAATGTTTTTCAATTATATCAAGTATACTTAATTATCTAATATGTAGCATAATACTCTGAAAGTCATTCCGTGCAAAGACTATGCTACTTGGCATTTGTACAACTTTGTTCCTTGTCTTTGTGTTAGCTTTGCCACAAATACGAAGTTGTTCTATATCACAGAAAATCAAGAGCAGTTGAATCAGAGTTTTGTATTATTACAGAATGTTAGTTTCAATACTGAAATCATTTTTCTGCTCCTCCATAGGAGTGGGACAGTTCTAGTTCTCATTGTTTCTAGTAACTGGTGACCAGTTACTGTTCCTAGTGTTCAGCTCCCCAAACGTCCCCTTAAGATGTAAAATCATGTTGATTTGTCTATAAACATCGTAGGCTGTTGAATAAGGATTTTCTATACGTGTATTCTTTCTGTGGAAGATATGACAGTATCCTATGTGGAAGCTGAATCAGATGAGTTCATTTAGGTATAAAAAACAAGATAAATAAGCACCAACTTTCAACATCTTGATTATGAAAAAACGGTAATGATTACCATTTCCAGTTACTAGGAACGGTAACTGGAACTGTCTCAGCTCTACTCTTTCTTTTGTCCTTAGAAGTATATTGTAAACAAGTTGATGTGATATTTATGATGATAATCATCAACTTTAGTTCTCAGTGTGAATAGCTGAAAACTATAAAAATCAATAAAGCTACTGACCTATCTAGGCGTGCTTTATGCGATAAAAGATAATCGTCAATTTGTTTAAGAACGCATCACAAACAAGTGCGAAGGAGAAGTGGACAGTGATTAAAAGGATAATATGCAACGAGTTCGACAACAAATTTCTGATATAGTTAAAGACGTATGGGCACCCTTCATGGTCAAATATTCTGTTATTATGTATGAAACATAATCGTATCGAGTAGGTAACACTTATTATAGAGATAACTGCAGAAAAAAATTTCTGTCATATTCGATCATTTTTTATGCATTATTCACTTACTGTAGATCCATTGATAAAGAAAAACAATTTTCAACAGCCTAACTGATTTGTTTCATTGATGAATTTCATTTCACTCCGTTACCTTCGCCCTCAATGATGTGAAAAACCGAGTTGCCTTATATTTTTGTTTCCATCTTCTGGTTATGATATATTCAGATTTAATCAAACAGAAATTATTCTTTATCTTTTGAGCTACTTTTACTACCTTTTGTGAAATGAGTTGTTTGGATGAACAGAGACATTTAGACCCGGAAGCGAAACTTCTTTCATATGTGATTAGTATAGAGTACATAATCTTTCTCTCCAGCAAGAACGGATATAACGGTTATGGTACTGAAACATTGGTCTTAATAGTTAATTTATCTGAACCACCATCACTGGTGAATTGATTACATGACAACACATCAGAATATAAGTTCTAATGTTGTGAAAACTCCAAAAGAATTCAAATTGAAGATATATAACATATATAAAAAACATAAGACGAAGTTTACCACAATCAAGTGACTTGTAATGTAAGTTATGTAAAAAAATCAATTCTTGTTCAACCTGATTTATTTTCAAGATTATTTATTAAACCAGGACTATATTACAGGAAAAGTAAGAATAATAGCATCAACACTAAGAGAATCAAGTAACGATAACTTATCGTCAACATGAAAACGTATAGCTTAGTCAAAAGTAGGCGTTTTAGATTTCTTCGACGTTACAACAGCAACGACAAACAAAATTTTTAGTCAGTTCTGAAAGCTGTTTACCATGTATTATTGGAATTTAACTACAACAAGTTCGACTACAAGTAGAAGGTTTATAAGAAGCAAGTAGAAAGATTTGTTTTTGGGTTTTAGAGATTCCTCCTCCATCACTTAGAAAGCTTTACTCCCATAGTGGCAACACACTATATCATTGACTTCCCAATCACGAAATCATAAAGCTTTTTATGTATTGTATGTATTTTTATGTATAGTGGATAAAATCGGGAGAAGAGTAGTTCGACAGTAAATTAAAGGGTCGTGATGATCAACAGATTTAACAAGACCGTTAAAAGCCCTGTTTTCCATAATGATGGAAATTCATCCGGTCCCTAGGTCGAAGAATCGTACGAGCGGATCGTACAAGATCATACTGTATGATCGTACATGAGCAGATATGATCTTGAATAAGCATATTACTTCATACATATGAAATGGTAAGATCGACCTACGAATCGTGGACCCGGAAAAGTCACAGGGTTCGGATTATAGGATTCGTACAACAACCTTACGTACGATCTTATCTGATCTTACAAGATCGTACGTACGAAATGCTATGATTCCAAAAGATCGTACGTATGATTGTGTACGATCATATGCGATCTTACGTACAAATAGCACATGATTCTTACTAGCTATTTTTACCTAGCTAGTCTGCGGCTTCTTGTCCGTGTTAATTTTCTCTCAATCTTTTAATCATACGCAAGAGATACAACAGGTGTTTGGATTAAAAGCTGTTTAATTGTTTATAAACAATTAAACAGCTTTTAAATTTCCATGACATTACGTAATGTCATGGAAATCGACTATGATGGTATCGATTATTACTGTTTCATAACCTGTTATTATTTTATTAACATAAAGATATATAAAAACAAAATAAAAGTTGACACATATCTTGTATAGAACTTCCTTTAATTTTCTTCTTATTGTTGCTGTTGTAGACTATTTGTGTCCACCTCCGAAAGAAGAAAACATGGAAAAGAAAATAACAGATTATTTTGACCATTCTGTTAGTCATCTTGTCTTTTGTCCATATAAGGATAACGGGGTATATCAATAACTTAATCTCTTCTTTCTCATAAAACATTTACTCTGTGCGGACCAATGTTAGACCATGTTTGACCACACTGATTCTATACAACGCATTTGTTTGACAACTACGCTAGGAAAACAGTTTCTTAAAAATCAAGTACTCGTGTACCTTTTTGAGTAATCATTAAAAAAATCTCAAGGACGAGTATTGTAAATTTTGTACTGGAGTATGAGTATACACAGTAAAAATTATTGTGTCGCAACTCCTGTGAGAAAATTGTGTCTCAAAAGAATGCGTCGCATGATTGTGTCGCCGCTACTAAGAACTTTTAGACACAGTACTTGAGATCATTTCAGGATTTGCTCTGTTCAAAAAATTGCTAAATTTTGTGTTATATATTTTCAGTAGGCTTTATTAGGATTTTTCTCAGCTTCTCTTCAATTTGATGCGTTATAGGTGGCGCTAATACGTAAAAGATAAGAAATTTTTGGGCTTTTTAAGTTCTTTCAATTTTGAATTGATGTTATTCGTGGATAAAGATCTTTGTCCAAGGCTTTTAACCTTTCTTTATATGTTAAACATTTTTCTCTGACGAAAAAGAACCAATCCGAGGCCTTGACTACGCCATTAATCCCAGATCTCGGAAACTAAAAATTTTGAAGGTCTGTGAATATTATGAACGGATTGAACT